CAGTTCCCTCAGCCGCTCCTCATAAGACTTGTTCTCCAGACCCCTCACCAGCTTCATTGCCCTTCTCTGGACACGTTCCAACACCTCAACGTCCTTCTTGTAGTGAGGGGCCCAAAACGGAACACAGTATTCGAGGTGCGGCCTCACCAGTGCCGAGTACAGGGGCACAATCGCTTCCCTGCTCCTGCTGGCCACACTATTTCTGATACAGTTGCATATGGGCGTTGGATGTTCCCTGCAGCTAACAACTTCCATTTAGGACCTTGTCATCTTCCCTCCCCCCTCTTTGAATGGCATCTTTTGCACTAGGGATTTTTTCACGTGGTTTTGTTAACCATTCTTGTTCCTTTTTTCAGCTGGGAAGTGAAAAAACTAACAGGAATTCTACATTTAGTGAACATAGTAATTCCTCTCAAGTGCCAACTCAGTCTGACTTGGAGTAAGTTGCGTTCACTGATAATGTGATAATAAAATGTATTTACTAATTTTAGAGGGTCATGTGGTCTAGTTCTAAATAAAAACTGTCATCGTTTCTTTATTGCAGTATAAAGCCATTTAATTTGAGCTTATGTTTCTTAGACTTCAGAGCAAAATTTGTTGTACTTGTGCAATTTTATTTGAGTCCTTAAGGGTTAGCCTATAATAATTTTAGAGCTTTCTGATATATTTATATTTTGCCGTGAGTAGTTCTTTCAGAAGCATTTTTACTGTGACGTAATCGGAATAACCTACCTCATTCAGTAGCATTATTTCATGCCATTTTTAACACTCGTTTTCCTATTGTGACACATTTGCGAAGTCAATATAATTCAATTTCGGTACTTTCCTGTGCTCCACATTCTGCTTTCTTCTCTGGTTTTTTTTTTTCATTTTTCATTCTCCATAAGTCTTCATTTCCACCAGGGGAAAAATTTGCTTGGCGAAAGAAAATGAGCATGCATAAAGTTTCATTTGTGATTTGGGAACCCTAGGTCAAGCCTTTTGTGTCCAGCAGTTAATTTGACTGTAGTGCCACTACCATTTCTTTTATGTTCTTTGTGCGATTGTAAAGCAAGCTGATACGTACAATGCTAGAGATGGCTGCACTGCCTTGAAATAAGCATCTGTATTTTACCTGTTTAATTAAAGGATATAATAGAATATATATCATATCTAGGTATCTAGATATCATGATATCGTATCATAGAAATGGAGGAGTATATTACAAAATGTTATTGGTTTTTTTGCTTTCCAGCATAAAGTTTTGTAGTTTAAATCAGTCATGAGTGTTAATGCTTTTTCAGGTTTGCTTTTAAAAACTGTGTATTTTTTTATGCTTCTTTTTTTCTTGTGGTAATCATTTTATTTATGATTGCATTATTTTCACCTAAAACTACTCTATTATTTTTCAGTAACAGCAGTATTTGCTTTAAAGACTCAGCTGCAAATTTGGTAGAAAAAATGAAAGACATGGCAGTATGTGAAAAGCCTTCACCTTCTCAGGTATAGTATGAAAATGGTCTTCCTCATAATTACATTTTAGACCCCGAACAGAGCAAGCTTCTTGTCAGAGTGTAGGATCAGTTTGTTCCTTTATCTGCTAATTACTAGAAAACACGTGCATTTTTCCTAAGAATATTCAATACTCTCTTACTGTTAACCATTAGTCATTCACTTCTGTACTGTGGACCCAATTTATGTACTGTTGACCAAATGGGCAGTACTCCCAAGAAAGGGGATCAAACTAAGCTCATATTTTTCTGTGGGAGGAATGATGATGTCATACATAGCAGATGTGAAAAATTTTAAGCTAAGATACGGCTTCATTCTTAGTACTTTGTTTGTATAAGGTATGAACACATTTATAGACAATTCCTAGATACATTCTCAGACACATTTTAAACTAAGCATAGTGAAAATATTCAGGATATCTCAGTTAGGTTTCCTTCTCTTTTTCATGTATGGAAACGCACGAAATTCTGCCCTGAAATCTAAAAGGTACGTGTTTATTTCTAGGTTGCTATCTCCCATAAACTATATTGCAAACCACTTTAGTGTTTCTATACCTAGCAAAGAAATGCCACTATTGGGAGGTACATTTCTTTTCTCTTGTCACGTATTAGAGAAACAGCTCATTATAAGTTTTGCTTTTATCCTTGTTAAAGAAAATTGGCAGCTAATTTTGATAATGCAAGAAACGAGAAAGAGGAAAAAAAAAAGTCAGATTCAGATGAAAGTTTGCCAGATTTGGACACAAAGACCAGTGAGGAGAATGGAAGTCCATACACTGTGAATGAAAGGTAAGAAGGATTTTTTTTTTAATAAGATCTGTAGGGCATTTACAGTATGTAGTGGTCTGGATTTGTTTGTTAATTTATAACAGAATGTGGGAAAATACTGCTGTAAAAATCACTTTCAAAGAAAATTGGTATTTGAGATATTATTTTTTTTCTGGAAATTTCAACTGTAGTATAGCAACTGACATGCAATGATATTTAATACTTACAACCAAAAGTCATTTGTGTGAAGATGTGAGGGTAATCGCCCTACGTGCTTTCAAGAGTCAGTTTCCTTTGTTTTTTTAACCTGCGAGACTATGATTTAGACCTGTATAGGTGTTGAGTGATCCCTGTAGAATGATATTTCAGCAGATGTATTAGATCTCAGGATTGTTTTTATATCTTGTAAATTTAATGTTAAGTATACTTAAGTTATATATATATATATATTTTTTTTTTTTAAGATTTCTTGAGGGTTTTAAAAATATAGAGCCTATTGGTGAAGGTGGTTTTGGGAATGTTTTCAAAGCAACAGGAAAGCTTGATGAGAGAACCTACGCAGTCAAACGAGTTCAATTCAGAAGGTACGTACTGTATATTTACTTCTGTTTTTTATTTTAGGACAACCTTAATCAAGATTTTAGTACTTTGTTTTGTCTCTTTAATAATCCTAGGAGCATTTAAGCAATTTTTCATTATTAATTGTCCATTCTTTCTGGTAAACTGTTTTCTTTAGTTCTAAGTGAAGCTGAAAATGGCATGCAACTTTGTTAATTTTTGCATGCACTGGAATAATTTCAGACGCAGCTGTAAAAAAGTAGATTTGTTAAGTTCTACTTTCCCTGAACACACTAGAGCTCTGGTTATTAATATCGCAAAATGTGTGTGAAGAAAACTTGCCGATTAATACAACATTGAAAGCAGCAGTGTTACTTTTGACAGGTTACATGGAAAATTTACACATCAGTAATGCATAATGACTATAATTAGGGAAAATAGAGAAAAACGAAAGTAATACATTTTGTGGTTTGTAATTGGAAAATGCTTTCTATATGACCCATGTAGTCATTATTCTCACACCGTGTTACTTGTCCTTTATAAATCTCAACAGAGACTGATGATCTTAATTTATTTTAAAAGTAATTTTCTGTAACCAGTACCTAGTGGAGTATTGTATCAGCAGCTGAAAAACTTGAATTTCTTTTAGGTAATCTATTTGAAAAGTTTCGAGTTGTTGGAGATACTTGTCCCTTACATTGTGTAACTGCCCTTCAAATTCTTGTGTTCTTCACAAATATATGTTATTTTCATTTGTATTGCAATCCTGAAACTATACTAAAAAACATTCTACTGATTCTTCAAATAAAGACTGCTGGTCTGCTGATGGGTTTGAACTTACTTCACTAGGCAATGTTACAACAACAAGTGCAGGCCAAATTTAGTAATAGTTCTTCATGAGTATTTACACTGACCTCTGTATATGTAAACAAACTTCACAGAGGTGAAAAGAAAACATGGATGTTTGCTACATTGTGTTTGGCTCCCTAATGTAATTACGCATTGCAACTATCTGCTTTTTTCAGCTTTTTTTGAGTGGGGCTTTCATTTCTAATAGGGTTAAAACATTTTTGCACTTTGAATAACTGAGCAGATGAAAGAAAACCCACAGAATTTTGAACTACAATTTTGAACTTGTGTGAAGGAGAATATTATGTTCTTTTCTAAATTAATGTAAAACTATCTGTATACTGCTACTTGATATCATGTCTTTTATTTAACTTAGTATTAAATTTTTATAGGGAAATGCCATTTGTTTTTGGTTTTGTTTTTTTTCTCCTCCAAATAGAAATGTAAACCGTGAAGTAAAAGCACTTGCAGGACTTGACCACGAAAACATAGTGCGGTATTATTGTAGCTGGAAAGGGTATGACCATGTAACGTATCCAGACTCAAGGTAACTACAAGATAGTAGTTTGCACTCACAAACTTGTTTGCCATAGTGAATTTTGTATTGTAAAAAGAAAGGCTGATGATCGGTTATAAATCATTGTACAAATATAAATGCATACACATACTTAACATACTTACTGTTAGGAAAAAAGGCACAGTACTTTTCAGCAGCAGGTCATATATAATTAAGTATATCTATATCTTCTTTTCCTTGATGAGTAAGATACATCATGTAATTTTATCTTTCTCCTCTCTCTTAATATACAGAACTTGCTGAATCTATAAAGGACTGTAAGAATGCAGAACTCAAAATTTGGGGCTAGAATTAACAACAGAAACTAAAAAATTGTCTGGCGGTTGGCTGCCAAATTCCTGATCGGAAGTTTCCTTTTTTTAATAAGTACTGGTCAGCCAGTAGCTCTCATAGATTTACTTATTTCTCTAAGTTAGCGTTTTAACCATGATGCCTGCAACAGTTTTGATTGTTGAGACCAGAAATACAAAATGAAATGCTCTTTCATTTAGAGGTAGTCTTTCAACACTAAGATTTCTCGGACAGCAGTGGTGAGAGTTTTACTCGCAAGTTAGGTTATTAAGTTTTCAAAGCTTCTGTGGTAAGCTTTTTTCACTAGCTGTAAATTCATACCCTTTAGATAGGTTGCCACACTTACCTAGAGCCATAAAATATTAGTGGAGTCAAAATTATAGTTGGCGTGGTATCTGTCCAGTGTGCTCAGTAAATAAGGAATAAAATGGGGGGAAAAAAGTCTTGTGTCAAAATCCAACCATTAATATGTTGGCATCTCAATATCACTCAGGCATTTTATATTGAACAGTTATTGGGTAAGAGACAGAAAAAAAGTCTTCAAAGCTGAGGTCCCAGCCTGGAATTCCACTTAGTGCCCTGACCTCGAGGCTACAGAGGCCCGAGCCACTTAATGCTTGTTCTTTCAGTACCTCAGGCAGCTTTATTTCAGGGCACCCAGGTCACACAGTGCAAGTAGGAAAAAGTGGTGCCTCCTCCTCTTCACATCGTCCTTCCCCTCACCATCTCCAGCCTCCGCCTATCCTATGGGCTGATGGTGAGGGAACTCTTCAGAGTGAGCTCTCAGAAGGGTTTCTCTAGCTCGCAGACTGATGTCAAAGGTGGTCACCGCACTACCTTCTTGAAGGGACAGAGGTTGAAGGAATGTGATCATGCTGGGTAGGAGGGGAAGGCTAACGCTGCGTTTGTTGAGCAGAACAGAGAATACCTGCCAGGGACTTGCAGCAGCTCCTAGAGGGCAAGATGGGAGCCAAGGACAGTACTATTTCTTCCTGTATAGGACATGCCTCTAGATACAAGGGGAGCAGAATTTGGGCACTCGGAAAACTTCCAGTGTGAACAAGGAAGCAAGCAAAACGTTAGGAATATTCCAGGGGTATGTAGCAACTGAGCAGGGATTCTTTGGTTTGCAGTTCTATGTATTTATATCTAGTACAAATTGGTCTAGGATGTTTTTTAAAATCAGAAACTTGCAGACTTTGTTTTGGGGAACTCCAAAAATAATAATTAACAAAAAGGTTTTTCAAAGAAGAGGAACCTGAGAATCACTGATGGCTTGGGAGGAATTGTATCTTGCCAGTTTCAATATGGTATATAATTTTCTTTTGCAGGCAGAAGTCAGACAAAAAAATTTCCTGTCTTTTCATCCAAATGGAATTATGTGAACAAGGGACTTTGGAAAACTGGATTGAAAAGAATGGACGAGACCAAACGTATGATCAGATGGCACAAAACAAATTTTTACAAATACTGAAAGGAGTGAAATATATTCATTCTAAAGAGTTAATTCATCGAGACCTCAAGGTAAGTAGGATAGGTAATTAAAAAAAAAAAAGATAAAAATAGTACTTATTGGAATTTCAGAAAATGTTAAATTGTTCCAGTCTTTGTTTAGTCTATTATGTACCCTAGTAGTGTGCCTCTTCTGATATTGCTAGTGATTAATTTTTTCCAGCAACTGGCTGGACTTTATCCTAAAATCAGAAGGTAAACTGGAGGATCTCAGAATGCAGTAGTTCAAAAAATCAGTAGTCATCAGTTAACAGGCATTTTCAGTGTATTACGTGTTACTGGGTCACAAGACTGTCTATTGGTTAAAGAAATACCAACTTCACGTGATAAAATAATTAAAAGAAAGAAAGTGAAAAGCTGAGTCTAGGAAGTTTGCTCTTGCCATATTTTAAAGGGATAGTTTATCTATGCTAATACATACTGTGTTTGATAACAACACACTCTAGTTGCTTGTGTCACGTATGCATACAAATATTTGAATGCTACTTTTTTGATAGAATTTCAGTCTCTACAAGTGTACAATCATAAAAAGATTTTATTTCAATATAGAGATTATAAAGGACAAAGTTGCAAGCTTTCAGGGCTTCGTATGACAGCTATAATGTTGCTTACAGAGTTTTAAATCACTCGTTTTGTAAAAAAGTCATTAGTGTGGTGGTGTTCCTAAAAACGGCTGCAGTAGGTCACATTAAATGTTGACCTGGGATACTGTTCTCCCTGTATAGCGGCTAATTCCAAACACCTAGAGAGTATTCGAGCTGAGAGATGACAGAGTGATGCTGTCCTTGACGCATACTCCCTTCCTCTCAAGATTTCCAGTAAACTGAAGTTTATGGACTTCTTGAGCCAGAGATTGAAATCTTTTGCATATTGCATTCACAAATGCATTCACAAGTCTGTAGCTCCAGATCATGTTCACTGCCCACTTGTAGAATCTTGTCTTACGGACAGATACGTTCATATCTTCTAGAGCTTTTCTATCACACTTATTGCTACAATACGGGAACAAACCACAAATATACACTCATTATTTTCCCTAGATGCCTGGGAAAAAGAGGCCTAATAAGTGCCTTCTCTCCTCACCCATTAACTCGTAGCTCTTTCCACTCTATGTGCTTTGTATTTTCTTGCTCCTTCAGTCCTACTTTCTTTTCATCTCAGCTCAATCTCCTACTTTTCCCTATTCCTGCGAATCTGCTGCCCCAGCCCCTTATCCATGGCATCTGGCCGTAACTGGCTTCCAAGTCCTATTGCTAACTTGTCTGTCTGCATTTGAATTTAGGAACTTTTCTCCCCACTTTGATCTGCCATCAGCTTAGATGCTTGGCCATCTGAGATCTGCATGTCCCAGAATCAAAGCTGCAGGACAGGTTCAAGCTGAGATGAATCCCATTTGCACCTGGTATGAGCAGAGTCTTCAGACAGTGTAGCCAGGTGTAGGTACTGTGTGGACATAGTCAAACTTGAACACAAGAACTGCATTGGGCATTCTTGACACAAAGATCTCTTCCTGTTAAATATTAAGTCTCTCCTGGACTTATAGTCCACCAGAGCTTCTCTGAGTAAAAGATAGCATGAGGCTGTTTGGTTTTGTTTTAGTAACATTCAGAAATGTAGTTTCCTTATCTTCTTTGGGAAACTTCATCCAAGCATATACAATTGTATTTTTAGTTGCTTATGACTTTGTTGAATTTAACAATGGGATGTTCAATGGAAACTTAAAAGTAATACTGTGAGTTGCCCCTAGTAAGCCCTAACTCTGCAATTGACTTAGTACAGATAATCCTGCTGTGCCTAAGAGAAACTATGATTTGAGTGGAATTCCACGTGAGCCTAAATGCTTTGCCCGAGCGTATCAAAGCCCAGGGTTAGGACTGAAGACTAAAGGGCACTTCTGGATATGAAATGTTATATGCACAATGTATTTGAAAAACATTAAAGCATGATACAGTTATGACTGAGCTAGTGGAAAAAGAAGTTGCAGTTACTGTGGCATGTACTACTTTAAATTTAGTTTGTGTTTTTAAAAATTGAACTTTTTTCTGTTTCCCACCCCATCAGTTTCTTAATGCTAATTTCTGTGAACAATTACCAAATTTTATGGGGAGCACTTCTGTGGCTGATTACGCTTGACGATAAACCGTGGTCATATGGTGGTTTGTGTTTTTTTTTTTTTTAATATATATATAGCCTCAGAATATATTAATATCACATGAAGATAAAATAAAAATAGGTGACTTTGGTCTTGTGACTTCTGTGGCGTATGGGACTTTGACTGAGAACAGAGGAACAAAATCATATATGGCTCCAGAACAGGTAATTATCCTCCTACATTAGTGTCTCTGTAACTAGATTTGCATTATGAACTCAGCATTGGGTATTCTCAATCCTAATCTCAGTACTAAACCAAGTTGCCTAAATTTCCCTGGTACGACTGTATAGGAGGGTAACTCTATTCTGGAGAAAGCTGTCTGCAAGCATGGCGATTTATTTCGCTGTGCTAACCTACAGGGTCTGACACTGCGTGCTGTAAGGAACGCTCTTGCAAAACCAGGCTGCCAGCCATGGATTTCAATGTGAATTTAGGACCTCTGTTAACGGTGGCATTTGAGTCCTTCTGTATGTTTCATTATTTGTGACAGAGGTATGTTGGCATGCCTTGTCTGTATAGGTCTGTAGAAGTCTTAATTTCAGCGTGTTCAATGGGACATCATAGTCGCTATTTAACAGGTTTGTAGCAGAAAGGGTTAACAATTAATAAGAAGATCAAGCAGGGCCAGTCCTGTAGCATTGGGGTGGAAATTTCTACTGACTTCAAATTTTGCTTTAAGAAGTGCTGTCCAGTTGGATTTGATGCTTATATTGTTCTTGTTCTAATCTTTGTAGTGCGGGGACAGCTATGGAACGGAAGTAGACATTTATGCACTGGGATTAATTTGGTTTGAAATTCTTTCGGCGTTCAGTTGTCATAGGAAAGCTACGGTATGTAATCTTTAAATTAAAAAAAAAGTCTCACTGTCATCGTTTTGCCTTGCTGCTGGTATTGCACGCTGATTGTACGCTAGAAGGAATCTGTATATCTAGAGTACTGTCTCTATTTACATTTTCCCCTTGATTCATTTCTGTAAGGCCCGTAAGTCCTCACACCTCGCTTGAAATGTAATAACTGAAGAAGTATTACTGGTTTTATTTCACTTACGTCCTACTGACATACACATTAAAGCCTGAGCATGCTAAAGAATAACGTCTAGCAAAAAAGATTTCAAGTTTCTGATAAATCTTTGTTTGATCAGAGCATTTGAAGGGACTATTTTTCTAGTTTTAGAAAATAAAAATTATGAATGGGAGAGTTTTGTCTCCGCCACGCTCTCATCTTCACTGCACAGCGGAGCAAGAACAAAGTTTCTATAAGCCAGAACACCTGCAGTTTTCCAAAATGAAAACAAAAGTGATTTGGAATACATAGCTTTAATTGAAAAACATGTTATTTCAAAAAGAAAACCAGTGTTACTTAAGCTTTTTTTGAAAAGGTATCTTTCGTGTGTCTTTTGCTTTTTCTTGGTACTTGGCACATTATTAGGTACTGAACAAGGTAAAAGGGAGGAAGCACACTTGCTTGCCTTGCAAATAGTAGCATCCAAAGTAGGAAATCTAGTTGTCTTGCGTTTTGTTTTTTTTTTTTTTTTTAAAATGTGGTAAGAGGATATAAACCCACTACTTTTAAATTAAGGAAAGAAGGATAATGGTTCTGAAATAGAGAGGATTGCTGAAACAGACACGTCATTATAGAGCGTGAAGCTTTTAAGCTTAGAAAGGGACAACAGTTGATAAAAAGACCTTAAAACCAAAACAAAGTACAACTAAATGCAAAAAACTTTCAAACTGTTTATAGTTACTTTCTTTTTGAAGCCTTACCTTTCTGTAGATTTGTATTTTGCTAATTACTTCAGTAAATTATATGGGTCATAAAGTGAGATGCAAAAATATAATCAATGGAAACATACTGAAACTGTTCTCTTTTATGAATTTCAGATATGGCCTGACGTTAGAGAAGGTAAATTTCCAGAGGACTTCACTACCCAATTTCCAACAAAGGTATGGGTTTTTAATGCATTATTTCAGTTAGTTTATTTACTCATAAAAAATAATTTATTGACATTTAATTTCTTTTTGCAGGCACCCATAATCAAAAAGATGCTTTCAAGAGACTCTTCAGGAAGATACTCTGCATCTCAAATACTTGAGTTGCTTACGTCTGTTGATAAAAACGACTTACTTAAACCTCGTACTCTGTAAATGCCCTTTTAAAAGGCTTTCAGACCATGTTTAAATCCAGAGTTTGATGTCTGTTGAAATTGATAAAGTAAATGTCAGAAGCAACAGCAAGACTTAGGATATGTCTCCTCCTTGGTGCTTTGCCTTCCCGCCACTGAGGAGCTTGTCAGCCAAAACAGTCACATCACCATTCACGCCCATCAGCTGCAGACCAGGACAGCATACTTCTGCAAGGAATCACTTGCGATTTTTACCTGGAAACGCAGGTTGTGGATGTGCTCGGTTAAAAGGAATAATACAAATGAATGCGTAGTATTTTTTATATTCCTATGGTAATTATTGCTGATCTGCTGCAAGTATTTGTTGCTAAATAAGAATCTGATTTTACATCCTCTTGTAAGGCCTGAAGTTGTTTTTTTCTCCTTATCATGAATCACAAATACACAGAGCATTTCACTATTCTGGACTAATTAGTATTTCTTTGCAGTGGTCAAGGTCTGGGAGAAACGATATCCTGACACAGACAAAACACCACTAGTTCCACTTCCTCTTCCCTTTCACCCATAAAACTAATCTTATAATATGAAAATTGATACGTCACAAACTTTGGCTGAATACCCTTTACAGTTCTTGGACAGAGCACCCATAATACCATTACCTCCTTACTGATAAGTAATATTGAGCTTGTCCCAGTAGTTTTTGGTACTTTTTTTTGGTAGTCTTTGTATACTTCAGCAGTACCTTTCTATTAATGACTGTTTACACTAGCAACTGCTGTTCCCTAAAAATAAAAGGTCTATTAAAGTGTATTTTTTTATATAAAAACAAAAAACCAACAACATGATCCGGTACTATTTAGTTATGCAAAATATGCACCTTTACGTACAACAGAATATTGGTTCATTATACAACAGAGTAACTAGCCAATATTTATTCCCTTACTCAAACCTGAATTTTATTACCAGCTGATCTTGTTCAGTTGGGCAGGGCATAACCGAAGACTGTGGAAGGCTTAACCTGCTTCTCAATTATGGTAGTTCAATTATAAATGCAAAGTTTTAATTCCTATTAAATTGTGCATCAAGCAGAAAATCTCCAAGATGCTTCAGAAATGTGAGTTTAACCTGTCAACATAACTATTCTTCTGCATACTTTGGTGTGAATTCTTCACTCTGGCACAGCTCCGAACCTTCTAAAAAGATATTATGAACTATACATACTTATCTAGGACTCCTTCCTTTAGAAAAGCTTTAGTCATGATCTGCAGCACTGTCTCCAGGGCAGTTTGACGATAAATCTTCATAGTCTACAGGATAAGCAGAGAAAAAGTGAGCAATTCCAGCTCAGAGGAGGGAAAAAAAAAAGTTGCTAGAATTATTTGAAGAATCCATGTAAAACAGATTAAAAAGCACTCAAGAAGGTTTGCAAGTTACTAATTCCACGCTTTGTTTTAAAACAGTGAACACAAATTTTACCCTCTTTGGTGCAGTGAAACTGGATAGTGTTCTAACTGTTTCAGAAACACCTGCAAGCTTTCACAGCTTTTTATGGTACTAGTTTTAATACTTGAATATTTGTTTTCTCAAAACAAAATTAATATGAATACCAATTCAAATAAGTGCCAGTATGGTTGGTAGTTGGGTTGGGGGTTTTTTTTGGTGCATGTAGACACCTAAAAATTGGCTTATAATCGAAACATACGAAGCTTTGTGCAAAAATGAGCAGCCTGGAAGGAAAGTTTGCTATGTAGATTTAAAAGACTGCAGTAAGAGAAACAGAAAGGATATATTGTACTATTTGAGTCTAGCTGCATAAGCAAAGTAAAACACTTACAAAACAGGTTTACCCTTACCTTCATAGGTTGTTCCACACCAAATGCAGTAGAAGTGTTCTTCTCTCAAATAGGCAGTCAGGATGTGTAGCTTTTCTGATACCTAGAGATATGTACAGGTATGCAATGATCTGGGGCTCACGTGACATAAAACAGTTTGAGCTACTAGCTTTGCTAAAATAGATTGTTTAACCTTTTGCTATGGAAAAGCTACACAATACTGTAGCTCAGTAAGGCATGAAGTTTCCCAAATTTGTAGCATACAGCACAGGAGTTCACGATCTCTGAAAAGTTAGTGGCTGTTGTTTGCTCATCCTTCTTTCCAGCTAAGAAACCTGCACTGAAGAGAGAGCTAAAAATATTATCTAGCTACCTTAATTCAAGTATATGATATTTTTGGTGGAATTTTTCACACCTAATCTCTGCAAATCCAACACATAAGACTAACAACAGCTGTGTAATCTAGTTCTCAAAAAATGTGAATTTTCAGTATCCATCTTCAGCTAATCTGTGAAGCATTTTCAGAAACTACTTAGTGATTCTAAAATTCAGCCTAAGATATGAGATGGAGCATCCAAAATTAAAACTCAAAAGCAAGTAACTTTGATCAAATATGTGATCTTGCGTATCTTGGCTAAGACACAAAAATGTTTAGAATTTAATTTCTAGGCTACTTTTTCCAAAGATCGGCTTCAAAACAGATGAGCAATAAATCAGTGGTTTAATGTTTTATATTTTATCATGCAACTGCTATAAAAATTGCTGCTCTAATATTGCAAAGAGGCCATTCACTACAGCTTGGAAAATGACATGTGTACATATATCCTTTATACATGTATGTATGTATGTATACATACATCCTTTTTAAAGGAATATTAAATCTAATTCTGAATCGAGCCATTAATTTAGTTGCAGAGCTTACATTTAAGTCTGAGCTTGTGCATTCATCTTCCTTGTCTTCCTCATCCTTTTTGTCTTCCTCTTCAGGTTCTAGCCAATACCAAGTCTCCTTGGGAACATCAATATCCTTAAATAATGAAGGTTTTAAATGAAAATTACCTGCCTTTGTAGGTTGTCTTGTAAGATGCTGGATAAAACCAATTTCTAGTAGGTGAGACAGGTTATAAAACTTTCCTGTATAGTATAACCAAGAATTACTAAAGCTGTAGTGGGAAACTAAGTACAGCAGTCCACAAGAAGGACTATTCACTTTTTTTAAAACAAGTAAATGCATGCTAATATTAAGTTCTATTCCATCCATGTTCAGTATGTGTATGGTTACACAGCAACATAATCTCACACCAAGGCTGTGAACAGATACCCTTTTTTATCAGTTGAACACATGCTGCCCCAAGTTATTTTATCAAGAGATCACACACTGCTTCCTAATCCACCTCAGGTAAAGTTAAAGGAAAAAGAGTCAAAAAAGATGATCTAAGCTAATTCAGCCGATTTCATTTGAAGCAGACTAAGGAGTATCAAACAATCTCAGCAGAACTTGCGAGGCAATATTAACCTCTAACAGGTTAATAGAGAAAAGAAAAATACTTGAAATTTTCAAGTGGCAAAAATTTGTAGTAGTTCAGTGCTATTACCCGTGTTATTCCTTGCAGCTGGAAGGTACTTTGTTTTGGGTTTGTTTTTTGTTTAAATGCTTCTTTGGTGAATCTGCTGATTCCCTCAATGATGATCCCCATCCTTGGAGATACTCAAGAGCTGTCTGGACATGGTCCTGGACAACCAGCTTTAGGTGACCCTGCTTGAGCAAGAGGGTTGGACAAGATGACCTCCAGAGTCCCTTCCAACGTCAACCATTCTGTGATGATGTTGCTCCCTCACTGGAGGCAAACAGCCCTGTCATTTAGGATGGCCTGACTTTGGCTACTGAAAGATATGCGAACAGCTCAAAAGTAACCACAAGAATGCAGGAGCAAGAACAGGTGAGCTCTGATGACACAAATTAACATGGGTCCCCACATAAGTTACCATGAGGTTGGTGTACACCTTCAAATATCTTAATGGTGCAAACATACACTTTGAAATACTTTAAAAGGACTGAAGCGTTGCCAAACATCAAGACTTCAGGCTAGTTATCGCACAATTTTAGAGAACTTCTAGGAATTGAATCACTACTTTCTTTGTAGCCTGTGTCTCTAACCTATAAGCCTTCCTTCCAACCCCCAAAAATATAGGTCTCACTTTTTGCGTATCTAATTGCTGGCAGGCCCTCTGGCTTTTTCGGAGGTCCCCTTCCATCTTACGTTCTTCTTGTTTGTTTTTGAATCTTACTCTGTTAAGAAAAAGTAGATAGCTAAAATAAACAGGCAGACAAACAGTGAGATGCATTACAGTCGATAGCTTTTCTAAAATAGAAAATCTAAGATTATAGCCCTACTAATTCTCTCAGACCAGGACAACATTGAAGTTAAGAAGTCCTTCTGACATTGTTTCTGTGGGAGCACACATTTATTTCCTGGGAAGTATACCTTCAAGACAGTGCTTTTTTGATCACACTACACTGAACTTTGTTTCTTCACCAGGTTTTCATAAGACATGAAAAAAGTGGTTCGCTAAATATCTGCAAAAGATACAGCCTTCCCTAGGCTTTTCTTCTCCACATATAAAAAGCGAATCAGGAGCAAATAAAACCTAAACAAGTTTACCCTGATTTTTTAAAACCATTGTAGCAATATTGCTCAGGATTATCTGTGGATTTTATATTAAAAAAGACGACACGGTTTTCTGATTTAAAAAGTTGCAAATTACTTGAGAAAACTTACTATGTATATTGTTTGCATTATTAACATTTACAAAAATAAATGATACAGCACACACTTTTAGCATTACAGCATTCATCTGCTTTTGCTTTAGAACTGAGAAACAATTACTCTGTATTTCAACTCTTACCTCTCATTGAAAACATTCAAAAATAGTAACACATTAAAAGAATAACCAAACTTAAAGCATAAGAAGAATCATAGTTTAGACACTGCTTGGAATACCAGTTACATCGTTTTACCTGAACTGATCTGCAGCTTGTTCATTTGCTTGTTCTTTCATATGGAGTTTTTGTCTATAGTTTTCCAGTTTTTCTTCAGCTTTTCGCTTTTTTAATTCCTCGTGACCAAGCCCACTTCGGCCTATGTAAGTTCAAAACATGAACGTAAGCAGTTGAGAAGCTGTGATACCCAACTAAATAAATTAGGAAGTATCACAAACCTGTTTTTATGTTCAGAGGAATAGGTTCAACAATGCCTTCTCCTGCGAGGGAAAAAAAGGTCCATTTAAGAAATCAGGTCTTTATCAAACTATGATTTGCGCAGTATATTCAAGTAGGCAAGCTGCTTTTGCCATTAAATATGTACATTTTCTTGTGATTTTGTTGCTTAGAAGTTGAAAAATCCCAAGTCAATGTACATTTAGTGCATTACAAATGACCCAGCTGAACTGGAACTCCCTCTCTTTTTTGGCTTGCCTGCTGGATTGCTATATACTTTTTTCAGGACACTACCCAACTGAAAGAAAATGGCGTTGACTCGACAGGTATAACATACCTGTGATGAAGACTGCTTTGTTACAGCCTTCTGTAGCATTTTTCATTCTAGAATCTCACAACTTGACAAAGATGAAGAATAAAAAGAATCTGTCTGGGCCAGTTCATTTGACGATTGTCTGCTAGAGACATGCTGAACTGGCACAGCAGTTATTGATACTTTTCTTTTACTGATTTTACTTCATCTATTAAGGCTTCCTAAGGGTAGGCCAGCGTGCACCATTTCTTCTTCAGAATCCAACTATAAATTCAAAGAGAGGGCTGACTTTTTTTGGAACACTGTTAGCTTTGCAAGACCATCAAACCATCCATAATGCAATACCTGTAGGCATGCACATATGGAAGCGCACTTACTGAACAGCAAGTACTGCTGCTTCCCCTGCATCTCTCAGTTGTCCATACCATTTTTATTTCAGTTTTTAGAGATTTGCTCTCATCCTTTTGTTCTGCCACAACACATTCACAGCTCAGTAACACTAGGCCTCTCAGAGAGGCATTTATTGACCCTGCCTACAAACGAAGTGGCAGCTACAGTCTGTAAAATATAAACGAGCACCTGAATATAGGCACACGCTTCCAGACAGTGACAAGCTTACCACTTTTGCCAAGGGCCTGGCCGCTCTTGTAGCCCATCTTCTGGAGCAAAGCAAAGCCTTTGTTCTCATGGCCCAATGCACTTTTCAATACCAAGTCACGTCTCTCTTTTTCTTCTTCTTTTAGACTCTTTTGTCTGTTCTTCTCGTTGGCTTCTTTTTGCTTTTCTTCTTTCTGAATAGCTTCCTTCATCCGCCTCACCATGGGCAAGCCTGGCCTTACATCCTGTCTGAGTTAGTAATTCCAGCAAATATTAGCACTTTTTTTTTTTTTAACATGTTTACAATCACTTAAGAGGGAAAAAAAAGAGCCACCTACTTACTTAATAAATAAATCAGACATGTAGTCTTCCTCTTCATCTTCCTCCATGTTTAGCACGCATGCCCTGTTCCCACCCCTTTCCTACAAACACCGTCAATACGCTTTATCACGCGTTTTGTATCTCTGCAGGCTACCTGAAACGCACAACCCGCAAGAAAAACTTGCCGCTCAGGTCTGCCGCGCTCGGTACGCGGCCGCAGGCTGAAGTGGTACGGTGCTGACGGACGCGAACCCGGCGGACCCCGGACCGGCCGCCCCCTCCCT